GTTTGACCACAGTGATCATCTCTTTTAATAAATATTATAATCCCGGTCAGAGTCCACATCCTTTGGAGATCAGCAGTGGATATCTCATGCATCTCTTTGTCCTGATGCAACGGGAGAAAAGTTGCGAATCTTCATCAGATTTAAACTCTTTCGTTATCGGACTAACGCCACGAGCAAGCATTTCGTTCCGGTCTTTTCGTGGCGAGCAAAAAGATATGCTACTGATAAGAAGAGTATTAATAATCATAAAAGCGCTCCCACAAAAGCGATTCGAAAATTTATCTTTTCAAAGGGGCATACACTGTACAGTTTTGTGTATACTTCTGAAATTAAGAAGACAGAAAATCACTGTTTTTCAATTCACTGGGCACACTTCTTGAATCACTTTTTTATCCTTAGTTTTAAAACCACACTTTGTGCATCTTCTAACTGATAAGGTACCCAATAGTGTCTACTCGTTTGAGAAAAGCTTCAGAAAAAGTCGATACGGGACAGGTAATTTAATTATCATGAAAACATATCATGATTCAGTTCAGTTTGTTAAGCTTGGCAAATTCCAGAAAGCTGTGATTGGGAGTTGGATACGCTACTGGGTGAGCTCTCAGCACTGGAATCGCAACTGAATTCAGCTCTCGGCGGCGATCAGCTAATTCTCGGTCTGCCAACCCTCCCGACTTCTGCATCGCGGAACTGTAGTTTAAATCAAAGCAAACGGAATAGCGTTTCGTCCACAACGGTGACGCAACAAATTGATTCAAAAAGGTTCAGATTTTTTGAACATTTCTGCATAAATTTAGGTTTTAGCGCTAAATCGTGATCAAAAATTTGAGCTACGAAAATTTAGTCAATGTTTTTTCTTGGTGCTGATTACAAGAAATGAATCAACTAACACAAATTTGAAGAAGTTAATCCAGAAATGTTAAAGCTAACACTTTAGCAGTAGTAAAATCAAGATGTTTTGGTCAAAAATTTACGGTTGTATGCATGAGGCGCAACAGTGTCGCTTGGCAAAATATTCTGCAATTAAACAATTTTTCAGTCAACTTTTTCCTCTAAATTATGCCGCACTTTTATTTATTTTGACATAATTAATTTCACGGCCTAAATAGCCCATATTTGGGACAATGCGAATATCCAAATCGTCAGCTAGCTGACCACTGGACAATGCAGCATTGGTCAAAGCGACTGGAAATGTTGCTAGATGCACAGCTGAAGAAATTGCTAGCCGGTTTTAGTAATAAGACTACAGTTTCATAGGACAAGTTCCGTATGTTTCTATTAACCTTTTTAATTCATTTTTCAAAAACTCTAAATAGTTGCTAAATGTTTTTGAGCTGTGTAAAATTTAGGAAGTTAGAATTTTCGAGTCGTTGTTTGCACTACTTTTTCACAATTTGTAGGATTCCATAAATTTCCTATTTTCGCTGATACATAAAAGTCCTCATTTTTCTCAGTACTTCCCCCATAAATCCAGAAAAATCTTACTATGGAGGAAAAAGGATACCGTGTGGATGCATAGATCTCATTATCAGTTACATGCCTCCATGCATTGTCTCCTTTCAACATATTTTAAGACGAAGTTTGTCATTAAACCAAGAATGAATTCCTGCTGTTTTGTGTAAATGTTTTTTCTCGGATGT